GCCCAGCACAGTGGGTACCCACCGCAGACTCAAATTATTAGACCTCGCCATCCCTGGGGGGCTGCGATCTGTGAAACTGTCGCCACTTTCGAGGGCTGCTGAGGGGCACAGCACAGTGGGTACCCACCGCAGACTCAAATTAGACCTCGCCATCCCTGGGGGGCTGCGATCTGTGAAACTGTCGCCACTTTCGAAGGCTGCTGAGGGGCACAGCACAGTGGGTACCCACCGCAGACTCAAATTAGGATCCGCTTTCGTCCTTGTTCTCCTCCTGCAGTCACCTTCCCTCTGCTGCTGCCGTGCTGATGGTTCGGCTTCCCGCACGTTTTTTCCTGCTCTGCGTTCCCGATTCCCCATGTCCTCTTCGAGCCTGTAGCTGTCGCCCCTCGTTCTTGTATGGTTCTCCTGCGCATCATGCCATAGGCGCGTGTCCCAAGTAGCTTACACATCAAGTTTATTGTCCAAGCAAGTTTCGGCCAACTCCTCGTTTCCATTGATACAAATGGTTTGGGTACGTCACAAGGTAATCTTCCTGTTCCCCAACCCCCCCCACCACTGGAAACGGAGGGCAAAGTGAGGCCTTCGGGTTGGATGTTTTGGTGGGTGGTCAGAGAAAGAGGTGACGGGAGGAACGTCACCGTCGTCGGCAGTTTGACACTTCACAGTTCACAGTTCGCTTGCTCGCAGCCTCTCGTGCCGCAGTGCGGGCACGAATGGCCTCCAAGCAAGGTAGAGGGGCGGCAGAGGTTTTGAAAGCACCCCGCCGCGCCACCTCAAGGACCACCGTGGCCGGGAAAAAGAGGTAACGGGAGGAACGTCACCGTCATCGGAGCCATCAGGTGGGCGGGATGATGAGCTGTATGATCGGCTGCACGTAAGCGTGACCCTTCGCCGGGATGACCTTTGATGCGCGGCTTTCGGGGGGCGCGGGGGGAGGAGGGCAAGCCCGCCACCTCAAGGACCACCGTGGCTGGGGAAAAAGAGGTGACGGGAGGAACGTCACCGTCGTAGGGGCCATCTGGTGGCACGACGGTTCTCTGACGGGGCCCACACCGCCAGCGGACGTTGCGAGCCCGTGGCGCTCGGCGAAGGAGTCGTGCTGGATCGTTTGCTGGGCGGGTCGCGCCGGCACGGCTGCGACGACCAGTCTGGCCAGGGCTCGTCGCCAGTCCTCAGGGCTCAAGGCTCAAAGCCCGTGGAATCCATTGAAGTTCCAAACACACACACACACACACACACACACACAAACACTATATATATGTATACTTATATGTATATATATAAACTACATGGGTTCGTGCAATCAAAACCTGGGATCCTGGGAAGGGCAACTGCGAACCCGACGCACACTGTGCGTGCGAGGCCAGCCGCTCACCCCCAAAGCGGTGGCTCTGGCCAGGCTGGCGCCCCGCGAGGCAACAGGCCCCGTCTGGGGGCCAGCTCCTGCGCGGCAGGGAGCACAAAAACCTTAGGAGCCCTTTCCCCCCAGCCCACCGTCAGTCCCGCGCCGCCCACCCAATCCCTTTTCTCTTCCCCCTCCCCTTGCTCCTGTGTCGCGATTGCGACGGCATTATAATCGCAGGGGTCGAGGGGAGAGATGCATCGTTACATATTATAACACTGCTGCTCAAGGCGCGACTCACCAGGAAGGGGTCGGCGTAACCTCTTTCCAACAACCCTGGTGCTGCTCTTCATGCGTTCTACCTTCCGCCGTCGGGTATGCGCGAGATCTCTCTCATCTCTCTCCAAGGGCTTTCGAGGGCCGCCCCCAGAAGCTTCTTGCCCCTCCCGAGCTCGCTCATCTTCGACTCATTTTCCGCGATGTGGGTGCAGGCCTCCACGCAGGCGTGGATGTGTGGTGGTCCCCTCGACTTCCAGTCCACGCCGTTGCCCTTGACGGTCTCGGCTCGCAGCATCTTGGACTCCTCCTCGTACGCTGCCCCCTCCATCATAGCCTTCGCGAGGCCCGACTCTGCTGGCACGGCGTATCGGGCGAAGACGGTGGGCGACAGGTTCGCCGGCTCCCCCCTGTTGGTCAGAACGAGGCGCGCCATGGGGTTGATTAGGACCCTCGTCGCCAATCCTCCTCCTCCTCCTCCACATCCTCCTCCTCCTCCTCCTCCTCCTCCTCCTCCTCCTCCCCCTCCTCCTCCCCCTCCCCCTCCCCCTCCTCCTCCCCCTGCTCCTCCTCCCTTCCCTCGCCCTTCATATACACCTGCCTTGCCTCCGCCGTCCTCTGCCCTCCTCCTCCTCCTTCTCGGCGCGCGCCCGTGACATGGGCCAAGACCCTCGGCGAGGGCAGCGACGAGCCACAGCGCGAACGACACCGCGGTAGGCCAGCGCACCTCCGCCCACAGCCTTCCGCATGCGGCGACGACTAGGAGCATGAGGTGCTGAGAGGAGGCTTGAGGGCAAACGAAAATGACGGGGGTCAGGTCCGCCAGCTCCCCCTTGTTGGTCAGAACGAGGCGCGCCATGGGGTTGACTAGGAGCCTCGTCG